GGGAAGGGAAGGGAAGGGAAGGGAAGGGAAGGGAAGGGAAGGGAAGGGAAGGGAAGGGAAGGGAAGGGAAGGGAAGGGAAGTGGGACTGACCTCAAAGCTGAAAGCTGGGTTATCTGTGCCCTTCTTAAGACTGTCCAGGGTTATCTGGTTTCCTTCCATCTCCAGAAGCTTCTTTGCTTCAGTGTATTAGAGGAACGGCACTGGGAGGGCTTGGTGCTGGCTGGGAAGAGAAAGATAGGATCAGCTCTGGGAAACTCAAACAAACTCTTCTTTTCAGTTTTGGATCTCTGAGAGGACAATGCCCCTTGCAGTCAGTTTTCAAAGCAGGTCCTGCCCSTGCATTTCAAGGGACTGTCCTATGGGGTCCTCAGGCCATGGTGGTGGTGTGTGTTCTCCTGTAACTTTGGAGAAATCTTTACTCTTCCGTGCTTCCAAAGAATTACAGGAAAAGACTATAAGCAGCAGGGAGTGCTGGTGCTCCTCATCCAAGTTGATGGCAGTGTCCACCAGCCTCTGTGAGCCCCTTTGCTAGAGGGATTTTTTCATAAATATCCTTCCTCATTGAAAACCTTGGTGAAACCAAGTAAGATGAGGAAGAAGGTCCTTTCATATTGATAATTAGCACAGTGCAGGAGCAAGGGGTAGGAAGGAATGGTAGTTTGCATAGGAACTGGTCCTAAAGGACTGGGAGAACTGGTCTAGCAAACCCAGAAGAGCCAGATGTGCCAGTGCAGGAACCCTTGGAGCATCATCCCATTTGGACACCCTCCCGGTTCCTCTACCTGGAGAAGGATGAGGGGAGAGCAGAGAGTCACAGGCAAGGCAGCGTTTGACTGTAGAAGTGCTTCTGTGTGAGGACAGAGGCAGTAAGAGGTCGCCTTTGCTTTGAGGAGAATTGTAGAGGTCTGTGTGGAGGAGAAGGAGATTACAAGGTCATTGCCAGTTTCTCGCAGTGTCCACTGAAGGGAGAGACACAGCCCCAAATGAAACAGGTGAAGGTCAGGAGTTTTGGAGAACATCCCCCTCACTGCTGCAGGCTGGCCCCCACGTGTCCCTGGGTTCATGGCTCCTCAGCAGCAGGACAGGACCCAGGGCCATGGTGGGAACCCAGGACCTCAGACCCCCATCCAGGGCCTCCAACATCGCTGGTGCTCCTGGTGCTCAGAGATGTCTCCCCAGGAYCCTGGCAGAGATTAGGAAGACTCACCACTCCAAATCCACCACCACTTCAAGGACCCATCTGGTCTCAGTCACTCCTCCAGGATTCTGGGAGTTCCAGGACYACTCAGGGTTCCCTGGCTGTGTCCCTGACCCAGGCTTGGTGCCTCCCAGCACTCCTGGGCTGATTCCACCTCATCCTCCCACCAGCCCCAAAACCTCTAGTTTTGGTGCAGCCTCGTCGGCGGCTTTCCCCTCAGGCAGCACATGGACAAGCAGATAATGAGGGAGGGAAYGGAGGGGTGCCCCCAGAGCCCCTCGTGTAGCAGCACTCTGCACACTCCTGTCCCGTGTCTTCC